ACTCCATGGATTAATGGCAAGAGCTGGAATGTCAAAAATGTATACCCAAAGGTTTCGCCACATCACTGCCGCACATAGTGTTTGTTGTGCTGTTTGCTGCACTTGCATCATCAAAGCCTCTTGTCTAGAAAAAACATGTTTTCCTTAAACTTCAGAAGGTATGTGACTAAACAGTATTCTTTCCATCATCAATGTTTTCCAGCTATAGTGTCAAACGGGGAGCTATAGTGGGAGCATACAGCACATGAAAACATTCTGGAAAGAAGAAGCCCCTGGAGGAAGGGATGAAGCAAACTGAGAGAAGAAGGAAAAACTTTCCACAACCCAAGGCAACCAATTTACTGAGAGGGAATATCTTATCTGAGAAGAAGAATAACAGGAGCTTGCCTGGACAGCAAGACTTTCTTAATGAACAGGATTGTATCTATCTGAACTATTTCCATATAAAAAAAAATATTTTCTGAACTTCAGGCAAGGAACATCAGAGCCATCCCACAAGAAAAAAGTATTTTGGTAGAAGCTGCTTCTAGCTGAAGTACCATGACCTTTAAAGGTCTGAAAAAGCCTGTAAACAGAAGAAGCTGGAACAGATTTCCAAGGGTTATCTCCTAGCAATCATGATGCTTTTTAACCTTGGTTTCTCCTACAGTCCTCACAACCACCTCATTCTTTCTGCCTGTCCTCAATTGCTTTTATCATCAAACGAGCTGGATTACTGAGATGAATTTGGCTCAAGGTTGTTTGGCTTGAACAGAGAGATCACTGTGACTCAGTGAAGCACTCTACAACCAAACAGAAACTAAACAGCCTTCTCTAAATTTTAATACAATTTCAACAGAAAAATAGAGATAACTTGTTTTGTTAGTAAAGCATCTCTTCCACATCCTGCATTGTCAGGGTCTGAGTTTCACTTAATGTATTTACAGTGTATATAACTAAAACATTGCACACTTTCACAGAGAAGTTTAACTGACCAAAATTTCAAAGACTAAGAACATAAATCCAGGTTAAAATACCTGCTATAAAGACAGGCCTGATTTTCAAATCTGCTCATCCACCACTTCTTCCCAATGACTTTAGTAGGAGCAACCCATTTGAAAGTCAGACTACTCTTCTAAAGCAAGCTTTCAGGTAGATTTACTTTTGAAAACCATCTGGTCTTGGCTGTATCCATGCTCAGCTTTAGCTCCATCACTTGGTTTTGTCCAGATAACACAAGATACAGTAGCACAAATTTAGACATACAGGTGCCAAATTTAGACATACAAATGTAACGACATAATTTAAGCATGTGTCTACCATTTAGTGTAAGTCCTGTTCATGTCTTCCAGCCAGTTTCCCTAAACCAGGAGGGGAGCTAGCGAGGGTGATATAATGCACGGATGGGTGTTCTTCAGAAACAACCAACATGAAAATGAAGCAAAGCACCAGTTGTGGCTTGTATTCTGCCAGGAGCCCAGTGAATCCTTCCAGCTCCACCCAGCATCACTTGACTTTCAATCAATGGTTTCAAACCTTGTGAAATTACATCACTGTAGGTGACCAATGGATCACAGTCACCACTGGACATCAGAGACCCAGCTGCCATAAAGACTGCACTTCTGTAAGTATTGCATGTCTCTGTTAGAGAGTTTTCCAAATGCTAAGTTTTCCAGTAACATGGCCGCAGTTACTAGAGATCTTTGGGGCTTTATTTTTTTGCTGGTAAGAGATGATAAAAGCAAGAAGCATAACAAGAGTCATACCAAGTAAAGACATACTTTTTTCAATTTCATTTTACATCTATCTGTAAGACCTCACTCTACTAAGAGAACATATCTAAACTAGCATCAGACTTCTTAGCCGTTAGTTCTGCACTCTTAAAGATGTCTGCAGAAACCAAATGACTATTATTTTGATGACAATTGAAAGTGTTTGCAGACTTGTGAAGCAGAATTATATGATGTAGTCATTTTCTGTGAGATACTAATGATATTCTAACTGAAAAATGTACTCTGACATAATTATCCTACTTCTTTATAAGCCTGCCTCAGGAGTGCAGTAAAAGAACAAATGGGAATATTTTTACCGTACCATATGAGAAAAGGCTCTCAAAGTTTTATTTGTATCACTTGATGAATGTTCAGGAGATGGAAGCTTCGTAAAACCGATATTATTTCCTGATATGGTCTGGGAACCTCTTGAGGCAGGATCCAAAGGAAGCTTTAGCCACATAAATCAGAGGCAGACTTCGAGATGGGACTCACACATGCACATGGGTGCCCCGTGCCCTGGCACACATTGGAATATCTCCCCCGGCTTCCACCTGCAGCTCCCAAAGGACGTAGGTCTCCTACATGTTATCTTCTGCCACACCATCTGCAGAGAGGTTGTATATTTCTGAGTGTCTAAAATGTCACTGGATGCTTCTGTTTAGACACCTGGGTTGCTTCATCCATGTCAGAGTCAAATTTGTTTTCCTAAGGAGTTTGCCAGCTGAACCCTGTAAGGGCAGGAGGTAAAAAAGAAACGACTCCTTGTTTCTCCCTTCCCTGAGTTGCTGCTCTGGGTTGCTGCTCTTCCTCTGCCATGTTTTCAAGAGTGAGTCTTCTTTTGCAAAAAAAAAACAGTCTGAAATTGCTGTGTAGGGCAGTCTGCCCCCAGGACGGGGCTCAGGCTCTGGATCCATAGGGCGGGACAGGACACAGTCACCTGTGGTTTCCCTGAGGGTTAGCTCTAGGAGATCCCATTTCTGCATACTGGTTTCTGGGACTGTCTTTCTGTCAAACAGTCATCTCTATGCCTGCTACAGCGGCACATTGGCTCTGGCTCTTCAACTCCACTACAACACCGACACTGACTTGTAAGCACCCGTGTCCTCCACGTGGCCCTCTGACCGGTTTTGGGAAGATATCGTAGTGTATAATCTGAAAGCTGCCTCATCCTCGTGTTGCTAACAGTAACACCAGGCAGAGCGAAAGCCCATATGGCTTCCTACCACCTGCAGCAGTGCAAGTGCCGGGTTGAGCAGGGCTGCGTCAGAGCCCTCACGGTGCAGTGGGACACTGGGTATGGGCACAACTAACCTAGGCTACAGAGGACCGCACCTAAAATGCCGGCACTATGTTCCAGGCTAATGAGCATGGCAAAATTAGCTAAGTAGAAGCAACAACACATTCATTTCAAAGAAGAGACAGTGTGTTTGAAGTTGTCAATGGGCTGGCAGATATTATTGGAACTGAACTGCTGTTGCTCTAATTGCTTCCAACTGCAATCCCAGCGAGCAGAAACTCAGCACATCATTTTTACTGACATTTCTGCTGTGAATGAAGAGGAACTGCCAACCCGGGAGCCCCACAGAACATGGGGAGAGCGAAGCCTATGTCAGGAACCCCTTTGGTGGAGGAGAAATGGCTGCTGCTTCAGCAACTGCCCTGAAACTCAAGTAATAACAGGTTCCTGGCAATTAGTTTTTGGCACATTTACTCACCTATTTTTTCTGGCCTTCTAGGCGCGTGATGTGGTACCACTAACCCCTCCAGATGAGGCAGCCCTGCTGGGACTGCACACTACTTGTTGGGATCCTTCTCGCACTGAGCAGGGACAAACTGGTGGGCCCAGGAGCTCCATAAGAGTGAAGCTGCAGATGGCTTCCTTCTTCCTTTCCCCCCTCTGACCTCCTAGGGAAGCCCCAGCTGTGGGAGGAAGGTTCAGGAGTCAGGAAGCAGCATAAGGAGGAAACAGCAGAACCCAAATCCTCCTGTGTTCACCCAAATTCCCCCAGCAGGTCCCTCCCAAGCTTGTCATCCGTGAGAGCTTATCCCAGTTTCTGGGAAGGAGCCGTCCACCCTCTGGCTGGTTCGGTGATTGCGGAGGTGGGGAGAGGCAGGAGTTGGCCAGATATCACTAGAAGACTCCTTGGCCATACCCAAAATGCTGGGGAAGAGGACAGGACCCCACCAGAACCTGTCTTAGCTTTTGGAGGAGGGAGGAAGCCTGGGATGAGGAGGGTCTATGCCTCCATCACAGCAAAGGTGTGACGACAGTATCACATGCTGGTGGGCACAGGGGCTCGAGCGGTGGCATGTTTGCCAGGGTGCATGGGAGGTCTTGCAGCTTTGGCTGTCTGTCCGTCCTGACACCGTGCCCTGGAGCCGTCACGCGGGCACGGGGAGGTCCCGGCCTTCTCGTTCCTCACACAGAGCAGGTGTATATTGCCATTAGGTGCACTACATCTGCAAAGGCCCCTGGGGCCTTTCCTGACTACAGTGAAGGATAGGCAAGCTCATAATCTATTGATAATCAAGAGCTTTTTGTTTATAAGGCAACTTGCTCCCTGCTATGGAGCTGGAGGTGCTGTGCAATAAGTCATAACAGATCTAATGAAACAGTATAAAGAAGTAACCAGCTTTAATCCTAGCTGTAGAATTATTAGGTAGATTAGTGAACAGAAAATTAGATTTTCTCTTCATTGTTGAAGTTTCACATGATTCTGGAAGCTACAAATTTTTAGGGGGAGTCTGTGAAGGGGCAGGTGACAAAGCTGAGGGTCAGAGAGGTGAGAGTGCCTTGAGTGCCAGAGGGAAAAGGGCAGAGGTGTCTGTCCTTCAGATTGAGACCCAATGATTGGGGCTGGGGGGAGCAGCACAGTGCCAAAGGCTGGTCCTGGCACAGCTTCTCACCTCTTTCCAACCCAGCAGCACCTGGAGTCACAGTGGGAAATGACTTAGAGGAATCCCAGTCTTTGCCCTGCACAGCACAGATTGACTTTCAGGTGCCACTGCAGTTCGTGCTGGCTGGGTCCTCGACAGGGATTTCTTTTTCACATGTGGTAAATAACTTCATTTGTGGTATAACATCGTTTCAGGCCAGCTGTGACATAAATTTGGGTGATGTCACCATTGACACCCATCACTCCCCTCTCTGTTGGGCCACAGGGTGAGAGGCAGGGGGCGTGGCTGTGTCTCTGCCCCATCCATCAGTGACGAGCAGTGAACCAGAGCTGATGTCCCGCTCACCAGCAGAAGATCATCAATAAGCTGCAGGCTGAGACAGCTTTTTGGGAGGAGATTCAGGGTTTTCAGGAGACAATGAAGAGCTTTTTGGAGAAGATCAAGAGCTTTTGGGGAAAAAGTCAGAGATTTCAAGATGGCCATCCAAGCCTTCTGGAAAGAGGAAAATCCCATCTGGGAGGAGAAAGCTGCCTTTTGGGAGGAAGAAAAGGCTATTCAGGAGGAAGCAGAAGCCTTCTGAAGGGCGTATTGTGACTTCTGGAAAGACTATAATGCTTTCTGGAGGAAGTATAAGAATTTCTGGAAAGAAGTTCAGCTGCTCTGGGAGAAAAACAAGGTCCTTCTGGATGAGGACAGAGTCCTATGGGCAGAAGATGCTCTGTGGGCAGATGAAGAGGAGAGAGTTTTCTGGGAAGATGAGGAGGCCTTGCAGGAATATGAAAAAAACTCTCAAGGAGTATGAAATGTTGATCTGGGAGGAGGCCTTTGGTCCTGAGAGAGAAGATATCTCCAGGGGTACCTCTGTCTACAGGGGAAAGGCATAACTTGTTCTGCTAGGCTCCGAAACATATGCAAAGCCACGTGTACCGATGTGGATACTTTATTTAAGCAGTGCTCCACTTCAGACAGTTCTCTGAAATAACGTTTCTAGTTCTTGGAGTAAATCAGAGTAGAGTTTTTTAATGCAGTTTGCTTTAAAGCCATTGTGCTTACATTTTCAGGACATTATTTGTTCTTTTGAGGTCCTGTAGCCTGAGGAATGGGGTAAACCTCTGGCTTCCTGGCTTACCACCAGGAGGCGTGTGTGTGGGTAAAGCCACAAGAAAGTCGGGGCTTAATGGCTGAGATCATCTTCTGGAGCTCAGAACAGCCCACCCAACTCAGTGCAGTTTGTATCAACTGAGTCAGTGCCAAAATAAGGCACTGATAAATGATAAGCTTTGGATCCCCCATACTTAAGAGTCACAGTTAACACTCCCGAGTCTTAATGAGACAACTCGTGCTGTTCCACCAGGTTTGGGCTTTGACTTCCCATTTCACTTCCCACTGCTCTTGGGAGCGTGACAGGAACATGGACCTGCTTGGTCCGCTGTCTGGCTGAGAGCAGCTGTGGCATCAGCCCTGCTGACATGGACAGAGGACGGGAAGGGAATTGGGGGGGTCTGCAGAAGTTAGCAGCTTGTGGGAAAAGGTGCGAGCTGGAGGAAAAGTTGGCAGCAAGTCCCTCAGCAAGGGGGAAATAAATGTAGCAGTGTGAGTGTATACGTGTGCGTAAGAGCAGAAGAGGGTGCACACAGGGACTGGTATTATTCACTTGCTGAGCTCCTATTGCCAGCACAGGTACTGGAGCGTCTAACAGAAAGTCCATGGTAACTGCAGTGCAACACATGGTCAATATTTAGCAATATTTTATGTGATGTGAGTACAGAGCCAGTGCCTTCTGCTGAGCCGTGGCACAGGAATGGCAGTTTTTCTTTCCTCTTGAGGAATTGAACTCAGATGCTTCATGTTTTTGAAGGCTGGGCTGTTGTAATGGGTTTGCGTGGCAAGGTTTTGGTAGGAGGGAGGCTACCAGGGTAGCTTCTGTGAGAAGCTGCTAGAAGTTTCCTCTATGTCCGATACAGCCAATGCCAGACGGATCCACCGCTGGCCAAGGCCAAGCCCATCAGTGATGGTGGCAGCACCTCTGGGATAACGTGTTTAAGAAAGGGAAAAAAGTTATTGCACAGCAGTAATTACAGTGAGAGAGAGGAGTGAGAATATGTGAGAGAAACATTTCTGCAGACACCAAGGTCAGTGAAGAAGG